TAGGAGTAGGAGTAGGAGTAGGAGTAGGAGTAGGAGTAGGAGTAGGAACAGCAGCAGCAGCAGCAGCAGCAGCAGTAGCAGTTGTAGTAGTAGAAGAGAGAAAAAGGAGTCGTAGTCGTAGTAGTGTAGTCATAGTGGTGGTAGTGGTCGTGGTCGTCGTGGTGGTGGTGGCGGCGATATTTCCCAATTAGAAATACAGAAACCAGCGCTGTGAGCGTGTGTATTTTTCAGTGTTACTTATGCAGAGGAAAATCTAGAACTTTTAAGTCTTTCCTATGCACGTGAGAATATGTGAATTCTGAATACCAAAGACCTAGAGGAAATACCAAAAATATCAAAAATACCAAAAATACAAAAGACCTAGAGGAAATACCAAAAATACAAAAACTACCAAACATATCAAAAATACCAAAAATACCAAAGAAATACAAAACATATCAAAACCACCCAAAATGTAAAACATACAAAACATACCAACAATACAAAAGAAATACACAAACTACCAAAAATACCAATCCTCTGGAGACATATAGGCCACCTGAGTAGTATTTCCTCTAGGTCTTTGGTATTTTTGGCATTTCTTTGGTATTGTTGGTATTTATTTTGTATTCTTGGTATTTTTGATATTTTTGGTATTTCTTTGGTATTTTTGATATTTTTGATATGTTTGGTATTTGGAGGGAGGGCCAACTATTCCTCTACAGGATTTGCATTTTTTGTATTTTTGATATTTTTGGTATGTTTTTGTATTTGGAGGGAGGGCCAACTATTCCTCTACAGGATTGGTATTTTTGGTATTTGAGGGGGGGCGACTGTTTTTCTTGTTTCTCTTTGGGAGTTGCTCTCCTGATATCCTATGTGGCTATATATCTACAGGATTTCCAAAATCATAACATTATGAATACATGAAATTATGAACTTATGCTCCCTTAAATTTCGGGATATTACAAGCTAAAAGGCTTCATATATTTTATAAATATTGTTTCTTTATATGTACAGTAGAGAAATCCAACATGAAACCATAAATTGAGTAAATAGTTCTATTGAAAAATAACACACACACACATAAAGAGCATTTGGCAAAGGCTGGGAGGGGGGGTCGAGCCAAAAAGAAATATATATATTTTTTTTTTTTAAAGATATTTATTTAAAGTTTAAAGAGCATTTGGCAAAGGCTGGGAGGGGGGTCGAGAATACTTTTTTTGTCGACCCCCCTCTCCAGATCCAGATTAGGAGCCTCTGGAAAAGGCTAGGAGGGAGGATTGACCGAATGGTCGACCCTCCCCCTCCAGATTAGTATCCTTTGGCAAAGGCTGAGAGGGAGGGGCTACCCAAAAAAAATTGGGTCGACCCCCTCCTCCAGATTAGGATTCTTTGGCAAGGCTGGCAAGTCTAGTAGAGCAGAGTGATAAAAGCAAGTTTTTTAACTTTGAAGCTAATTTTCACAATTTTTGAAATGTATACAACTGACTTTAAACTGAAGCATGCTGGTATTACAGTATAGTATGTTAAGATTGATGCTTTCACCATCAAAGCTGAAGATCAAAAGAACCCAAGTGAGTGGCTTTAGTGGCTTTTATCAATAAGATTGGAGGCTGGAGTGAGCAAGTATGTGGATATTAACCTAATGAATTTTACCAAGTTGTAGAAAATCAAATTGTAGAGATTTCAACATCTAAAGATAGATACATTCAAAATGATGAGTATGATACTGATACTGATGATATTGTTAGTGACATGGAGAAAGTGAACCAAACAATGATTAGGATATTACTTGCAGGAGCAAGCAAAAGTCATATCTGCCAGAAAATGGTTGATAATGGTTACACAATATTATTTGTAGTGCCTACTGATAGGTTATCACATTACTTTGAAGTTTGCACCAGAACACTAAATAACAATATTTTTGGTCAAAGTTTTGGTGATGTTTAAATGGAACCAATTGATTAGTCAGAATTTGATGTCATAGCAATCGATCAAATCTATTTAATCGGTTTGAGTCTTTATTGCAAAGCCACATAGTTTGTTGAGCAATTTGTTTTTGCAACACGTGATACCAAACAACTAAAACCAGTTCAGGAGTTAAACGAGCTTCTTTTGCAGCACCATTTGTTGAAATTTATAAAACATGTTTTGAACTGAAGCATGCTGGTATTACAGTATAGTGTGTTAAGATTGATTCTTTCACCATCAAGGCTGAAGATCAAAAGAACCCAAGTGAGTGGCTTTAGTGGCTTTTATCAATAAGATTGGAGGCTGGAGTGAGCAAGTATGTGGATATTAACCTAATGATTTTTACCAAGTTGTAGAAAATCAAATTGTAGAGATTTCAACATCTAAAGATGGATACATTCAAAATGATGAGTATGATACTGATGATATTGTGAGTGACATTGAGAAAGTGAACCAGGTAATGATTAGGATATTATTTGCAGGAGCAAGCAAAAGTCATATCTGCCAGAAAATGGTTGATAATGGTTGCACAATATTATTTGTATGGCCTACTAATAGGTTATCACATTACTTTGAAGTTGATACCAGAAAGATCAATAACAATATTTTGTTGGTCAAAGTTTAGCTTAGCTGCTTCACTACTCTTTGCATCAATTCTTGTGTTTTTGAAGCTGGAACATGTGATGCATGACCAGCTGTTTCACTACAGACTTCATATCCTTTGTGTAACAGGCCCAAATATAGTAATTACTTCACTTCGAGTGATCCCCACCATGACATTTCAAAACAGCGACTCTGTCATCTGTTCCAACCGATTGCTCCAAGCTTCGCAACGCCCGCAAAATGAAAACTGACATTGCCCCGCTACTGTCCTAGACACACGTCAGAGTTTGCACCTAGTATATCACATACTTGTCTGACATTCTTTCTAACTTTCTTCTCTCTTTGTTCCATATATTCATGCATGTTTGAAACACTCACCATCACGCAGGGTTTCTGACATTCTAGCTGGCATAGCTTTTGACATTCTATCTGGCATGGCTTTTGACAGGGGCGTTGGGGTCCGGGTGGGAACACTGGGCGTGGATGATCGTGGTTGAGGTCCGGCAAGGAACACTGGGCGTGGATGGTCGTGGTTGACGTCCGGCAGGGAACACTGGGCGTGGATGGTCGTAGTTGAGGTCCGGCAGGGAACACTGGGCGTGGATGGTCGTGGTTGAGGTCCGGCAGGGAACACTGGGCGTGGATGGTCGTGGTTGAGGTCCGGCAGGGAACACTGGGCGTGGATGGTCGTGGTTGAGGTCCGGCGAGGAGGAGAAGAAGAAGGAGGAGGAGGAGGAGAAGGAGAAGTCAGCTAACATATAATCTAACAACCCTCACCTGGCAGGTGGGGAAAAAACACAAAGACACAGAAAAACACGGGCCCTCACAGCGCTCCTCTCTTTTTAAAAAGAAACACCCTAGGCGAAATATGATTTTTCATTCAGACCCCTATGAACTATTCAGGCTGTGGGATTCTATTGTTCCCTCCCCCTTGACAACTTGGGATTGAACATTAGGTCCTTTAGGTATGTTTCTTGACCTTGCAACGGCCGTCCAATCCAGGAGATTGAATGGGCGATCGAAGGCGACTTCGATACCTATTTGCGAAGGACAAAGTTGGAGGGTCGCAGGTTTCGATCATTTGCTTTAAATGGCAGTGATGCATCAAACCTACTATGTACATGGCGACTTTGAAGACTTACAGCAAGCTCAAATTCAAGCTCGGACACACACACACACATGAAGAATTTCATCAATCGAGATGAGTCCGGTCCAGCGAGTGAGCAAGCACACGGGTGTGTATTGAAATAGGGAGACCCACAAAACCTTTATGTAAATCACACACACATAAAATATTTATATCATGGCAAACATGGCAAATCAGTTTGGCGCCCCGTGTAGTTTACACAGGCCTTCGCGGTGCGTTCAGGTCTTCAAAATCTTCAAAATGGAGAAACCCTTATTCTTCGGTACCTACTGGCCATCAGGCAAATCACACGAGACATCTTGTTGATTGGGAACGTGCCAATTTTTCTACAAACTCACCAATTTCTCTATCTCACAGCTAGGATGTCGCGAAGTGGAGAGTGGGGCGGTGAGCCAGAGCTTTTGATGCTCTCCAAGTATCTCAAGCGCCCCATTGAGGCCCCTTACCGTGCGAGATTGGTCACTTCGAACTGCACAGGACGACACTTGTAAGATGGTAAGTGGTAACGAGTCTATTCTTACATGCTATGCATCCATGCTGGGCATGTAAGGGCACTGGTCACAAAGTTTCTGAGCTGATCGACGGGTCCACATTCTCAGATTTCCTTTAATTCGCAACAGGTCCTCTTTGTGTCACTGTTGCCGAAAGGATGAAGCCTATGTCTTGGGATGTTGAGTAGGGAGCTCCTGTCGTCATCTTAAACATCAGCAGCATGATTGCTTCGGTTTGCATGATGATTACTGAAATCATTTGAAATCAAGCTCTCAATTCGCGACATTCAAAACTTGTATCGATGTGTAGCGGTACTGGATGGACCGAGTTCACTCATGAATGATGGAACGCAGTTGAATGCCGTGAATGTTCATCTCAAGTGCTGTGGGGGGGACCGGCCATGGAACCGTCTTTGGTCGTGGCTGGCATAGCGATTGCTGTCGGCCTTTGGTCTAAGACCCCTGCTAGGGATCCACCCGTACCACCTCCTCCGTGTCATTGCCATTGCACGTGTGATCTTCCTGTTCCGCCGACTTTGTGGACTCCCCTAGCCACCCTGCTGGCCTTGGTTGTTTTCGCATTAGGCTGTGCATTGAGTGCTGTGCTGTTTTACGTGCAGGGAGCGCAGAAGAGCAGCACTGGGTCTCCGAAGGGCGGCAAGGGTATCCAAGGGCTTAGCAGTCGGTTCATGCAACTTTCGCAATGAATGTTGGAGGGCTAGTGCTGGTGAACTATGGAGAGCCAGGGCCGATCTGGCACTGTCGGGCCCTCTTAGCTCACGCTGGAGGGAATGACTGGGCGATCCTAACGCCAGATCATGATATATACATAGAAGAGATGGCTCCAAGCAATACTGATTTCACTGGTTTCTTTTATTGTGGGGAGGCTGGCATGATTCCTGCTCATATCAACCCAGCCAATGTTTACGGCTTTGATCCACTCACCCCTCAAGAGCTGGGTGCCTTCAGGGTTCAGGGACAGGTGCTTGCAGATGCGCATCGAGCAGCTCATGGAGCACCTGCCGTGGTTCCTGGTGTAGCAGTGGCAGCTCCAGCACCGGTGGTCCGTCCAGGGGCAGCTCCAGCTGCCCCGCCCGGAGGTGCGGCCATCGGTGCAGGAGCAATGGGGGCAGCAGTGGTTGAAGCAGTTGATACACGGGTTGTTTTGGAGGACGGTGGACCCCACAAGAAAGGTGACATAGTTGCCCGAGATCCAGCAGTGTTGCCACCCGCCAGTTTGGTCACTGGTGAGAGAGGAGTTTTACCAGTGGCCGGAACTGCCGTGTTGATCAGAAAGGTGAAGGCCTCTGAGGCCGCCGCTTACAGACTGGAGGATTTGCGTCTTCTCCCCATCACCTTCGACGCCCAGGGAGTTCGGAGGAGGGAGTTCAATGCAGCAGTTGCAGAAATGGACGGCGCCGAACCAGCAGGAGGCGGACTTCAGTTGACCGGGCCTGCAACATCTTTGAAATTGATGAAGGAGTTGAGAGATCAGGCCATGACACCGAGCAGCTTTCATGAGTACTGGTTGCGAACAGCTGAGATTCCTAGAGGAGATCGATCCCTATATGAACATGAGTGTTTGTCAAGGATTTTGGAATCGATGGTGGTGGTTGACCAGTTGAATGTTCCAGCCCTACAATCCGCAGAGCTTATTTGCAGGAGGCTTCAGGTGATTCGGGAGGCACATCGGATTTCTCCCGGTCAGCCGGACTACAGCTCCTCAGATTTGATGATGGGATGGAAGTACAAGCGTGCTGGGGCTGGCATTGATTCAACATTGGCTGCACATGTGGCCAACGAGCTCAAGGCAGAAGCTGCCATAGCAAAAGAAGCACGAAAGGCAAGAGAAGAGCAAGCAGCCCGCCGCAAAGGCCCCAAGCCCGGGAAGGGCAAGGCCGAAGGCGGGGCGGACTCATGAGGAGTGGAGATGCTGCCATTCTTAGGCCTGGAGAGTGGCAGCCAGTGGAGAGTCAGGCCAATTGCATGACCAAGGAGAATTCAAACCTAAGGGGATGCCAGCTTCATGATGACCGTTGGCGAGAACTTTTCCCTATCCCTTTGTGTGCTGAGACGAAGCCAGAGGCTGGACTGTCGGTTTCTGCTCGCAGACGGAGGGCCAGGGTTAGGAGTACAGTCGACAAAGTAAATTCAGTCATCAAGATCCTGAATGAAATGTATTCCCCTAGCCGAGATGGCGAATTTTGTTCTGCTCATCCTGTCACTTCAGCACAGTATGCATGTCAGCATGAGTTGTTTAAGGATCCCTCGAAACAGAAGAGCCCCACCAAGTTTTTGACCATGCGTGAAGCTGCACAAGAGCTTCTGCTTACCGACCTGTCCTACTCGGGCGAGGTTACTACAACGGTGAGGCCCTACGACAGAGGCCTGCTCTCGATTCCTTCGACTGGCAACCAGGCGGTTGACCTGAGAGGAGTTCTAGATGATGTTGGCCGGGAAACAATCGAGGACCCCCTTCGGTGTATGCTGTTGAGTGATGATGAGTTTGGAAGTATGGTGGAGAAACAACAGCCGATTTGCACATATATGGATCCAACTTTGAGAGACAGTCTCCCAACCTATTGCACCTTCATCCAGGACCTGTTTTTGTGCGGCATGGTGGAGTTCACAAACCGTCCATCAGGCTTGGTGACCCCCTTTTGTGTTGCAAAGAAATCAGGAAAGTTGCGACTCATCCTGGACTGCAGAGACACGAACCGTCGGTTTAGGCCGCCTCCTACTCTGGCAGCTGGCACGGGTGCTTCCTGGGCAAGGCTGTCCATTCCGGAGGGCAGAGAGCTTTTTGTGGCACAGTCAGACATCAAGGACTATTTTTACTCTCTTCAACTACCTGAGAGTCTCCGGAGCCTTTTTTGCATGCCGCCTATCCCAGCCTCGTTGTTGAGGCACTGGGGGGTGAGCGCCGAACATGGTGGCTCCCTCGTCTATGATGGCTGGGCGCATCCACGACTTCGAGTTGTGCCCATGGGATGGTCATGGGCGATGTGGCTTTCACAGAGGGTTCATCAGGTGCAGTCACAGATAGGAGCAGGCATTTCACAGGACCGTGTTCTGGTGGATGGCAAGCCCGCTCCCGACCTCTCTGACGGCCAGGTACTGCTTTTGCCCTACGCGGACAATTTGAATGTGGCTGGAGTGGACCAGAGGCGAGTTCAGATGGCAAAGGATGGGGCAGTGAAGAGACTTAGGGAAGTTGGGCTTCTAGTTCATGAGGAGATGGATGCTTGCACAGTGGCTCAATCTTTGGGTTATTGCATTGATGGGGTGGCTGGCACGGTCAGGCCGGTTGCAGACCGACTACATACAGTGCAGCTGGCCTTCAAGTGGTTGAGCCGGAGACCAAGGGTCACAGGGCTTGCAATCCAGAAATTGTTGGGGCATGCAGTGCATTTCATGTTGTTGAGGAGAGAGTTGTTAAGCATTCCAAGACGGTTGTACGATTTTGTGCAATATGCTGGACAGTCAAGACGTCGCCTCTGGGCGGTAGCTGCGGTTGAGGCTCGATGGATTGGGGAGCTTCTCAGTCTGAGCACGGCGGACCTTAGACGGGTTCCTTCAACCCAGCTTACTAGTTCAGACGCTTCACTTTCAGGCATTGCAGTTTGCTCAAAGCAAGAATCTCTTTCAACTGTTTTGGCACTTGGAAGCTTCAAGGAGGGTTGGCGATTCAAAGGAAGGAACCCAGCAGATAGACCTCGACAGAGAGCGTTGGGCCGACTGGATCCATTCACTGACCCCGAGTCCGTAAAACCCATTGGAGCGGCACATGAAGACCCTTTGGAACTTGTTGTAGATTTTCCAGAAGTAGATCCATTGATTTTAAAGAAGGAAGATTGGCAGTTGCGTTTTGCACAGTACATGCAACACCCAGAGGCCATAACAGTTCTTGAGGGTCGAGCAGTTGTTGCAACATTGAGGCATAAGTTTCGGTCTTTAGCCTGTTTTCGCCAGAGGCATGTACACTTGTGTGATAATCTTGGTACCGTTCTGGCTTTAGAGAAGGGCCGTAGTCCGTCACCTCCGCTGTTGAGGGTATGTCGAAGGGTAGCATGTTTACTGCTTGCAACCTCCTCCAGCCTGAACTTGCGCTGGATTCCAAGTGAGATTAACGTGGCAGATGAGGGCTCTCGCCGTTGGGAACGTTCCAGGAAAGCTCACGGCAGCGAAAGCACCTCCTCCAAAAAAGAAGCAGGCAGCAAACAGCAGACAAGCAGTTCGACAATGTCTCCAAAGCAGCACCAGAGAGGGAAGAGCAGAGAAAAGAACCACCTACATGAGAGAGAACCAATTGATCCAGCGATTCAAAGGTCAGACATTCCTGGAACAAAGTGCAATCTCCATGGAGGTGGCCGTGGACTACAAGCATCGGATGCAGATTTTTCGAAAGTTTGCGAAGGAACACAAGCTTTCCCTTCGTGGGCAGAAGAAGTTGGACGAGAGTTTTTGCTTCTTTCTGAACAGTCTCTTCGAGGAAGGGAACGACATTGGCGATGCAACAAAGCACCTCGCGGCCCTCATCGACAGCGAGCCGGGCTGCACAGGCAAGGACAGCCTCCCCCGCTCGAGGCGATGCTTGCAAGGATGGCGCCGCCTGGACCCGGGTGCAACTCGTCCTCCCATGCCATGGGAGCTGATAGCAGCCATAGTCATGAAGCTGGTTCAGAGGGAGTTGATCGATCAAGCCTTGCTAGTCCTCCTCATGTTCGATGCCTACCTGAGACCAGGGGAGGCCTTGAGCTTGCGAAGAGAAGACTTGGTGGAGCCGACCGCGCAACACCCCTTCTTCAGCCTCAACCTGCATCCATCAGACCGACAGGAAAGTTCAAAAGTCGGACTATCCGACGAGACCATCCTCCTCGATTCGAAGACGACCCCCTGGATGGGGCTCCTGCTGCGTCATCATCTAAGCCTCCATCGGGGGGAGATGATCTTTCGGGTGGACTATCGCGGACTGCGAGATGCCTGGCAGGGCGCACTAGTCGACTTGGGCCTCTGCAGGACGCATTCCGTGCTATATCAACTGAGACACAGTGGTCCCTCCTACGATCGGATGGTGAAACATCGCAGCCTTTTGGATGTCAAGAAGAGAGGCAGGTGGTTGTCGGACAGTTCAGTGCGGCGCTACGAAGCGAGCGCGCGACTCAACCAGGAGTTCCAGAAGCTTCCAAAGAAAGTACAGCGAGTTGCTATTCAGGCACCCCAGCAGGTGGAGCAATGGGCCCAAAGATTTTTCTGCCGGAGAAAGCGAAAGACCGCAAGCTCTGGTTTTTAGAGATCTTCAGTGGGTCAGCGCACCTTTCCAAGGCTATGGTGCAACAAGGTTTCCGCTGTGCCGCTTGGGATATAGAGTACAATTCACGATGCAATGTTCTTGACAAGGAAGTTTTGTGTCATTTGCTTCGCTTCTTGAGGGGCCGCAAAGTTGCCCTGGTTTGGTTTGGTATGCCTTGTCAATCTTGGAGTCGAGCTAGACGCTTTGATGGAGGACCCCCTCCGCTTCGGGACGACAACTGCCAAATCTGGGGGAGATCTGGCTTGAGTTTTTCTGACCGTCAAAAACTGCACCTTGGTAACAAGTTACTTTTGTGGACAACAATGATGGCTCAGTTATGCTCAACCATTTCAATCCCTTGGGTTATCGAAAATCCAGGAAGTTCTAGATGTTGGCTGACACCTGATTTTGGCATCTTGATGAAGACTGCAGAGTTGGTTTTTGTCGATTATTGCCAGTATCACGTGCCCTGGCGAAAAAACACCGGATTTTTGACCCATGGTTTTCCTAGATTAGCCACCATCTTGCGAACTTGCTGCCCCATTAAAGGGCGATGCAGTGCAACACACAAACGTCACATCATCTTGTCAGGCCGTGATGCCAATAACGTTTGGTGGACTCACAGGGCCCAGCCCTACCCACCCGAACTTTGCCACGACATCGCCGTTTGTTTGGGCCAGAGCACATAGTTTGTGGGGGCGGGAAGGCAAAGCTTGGCTGTCGGTCGCTTCTTCAGGAACATCGAAG